GAGTTGCCAGCGATTTGGGGACACCATGGAGTCCAGTTTAAAGGCAGGTGAAGATCAGCCGGACTGAGCTGATGGAGGATGTCCAAGAAAAGAGAGGTCCCAGATCTCATGAGGGAGGCTGCCATTGTCCCGTTGTCTCTCTACTCACAGTCACCTGCAAAATTCCCCTGCTGTTTAGGGAGTGGCTTCTTCATGGCCCATTTAGCTTCTGAACTTCTCGCTGCCCTTCCTGAAGGGAATCCAGGACCCCTGACTCTGAGGACATCACCTGCTGGAAGGCAAAGCCCCTGCCCAGGATGGCCACTGGGCCCTGGTGATGTGCAGAGTGTGGGAGACCCGGGAGCTGGAGTAAGGCAGTAGGGACGCCTCGACACTGGCTGAAGACACAGGGTCTGCGAGGGCTTTTCAGGCCTCAGTGAGGCCTTCTGCTCTTTTTCTTTTTTTTTCTTTTTTTTTTTTTTTGAGACAGAGTCTTGCTCTGTCACCTAGGCTGGAATGCAGTAGCGTGATCTCGGCTCACTGCAACCTCTGCCTCCCGGGTTCACGCCATTCTCCTGCCTCAGCCTCCCGAGTAGCTGGGACTGCAGGCGTCCGCCACCTCGCCTGGCTAAGTTTTTGTATTTTTACTAGAGACAGGGTTTCACCGTGTTAGCCAGGACGGTCTCGATCTCTTGACTTAGTGATCCACCCACCTCAGCCTCTCAAAGTGCTGGGATTACAGGCGTGAGCCACCGCGCCCGGCCATGCCTTCTGCTCTTATATAGACTGGAATAAATAGCCACAGGAGGTTTAGACCAATTACAGGTGAAATCTCCAGAATATGGGACCATCCTCACTACCTGCCCTATCCTTTTGGTCTTCCCTGAGGACTCCTCAGCCCGACCCCAGCCCCAGCATCTGAATTACCACCCCGGAGGTGCTAGAGTCCTCCTGTGGCCAAGATGGAGACTGCGTCCTCCAACGGAGGGAGACACAAAACACTCAAAATAATCCACGCAGAAAAGTGTCCGATGTGGTGATGGATGCAGAGACAGTGAAACCTGAGTAACATGATAGACAGTGATGCAGAGAAAACTTCAGATGGGGATGCAAGGGGGCAGGAGACAGCTCTGAGGCTAGACCCAAAGGAGAAGAAAGGGACAGAGCTGTGATGATTTGGGGACATAGGGTAAGAGGAGGGGCAAACACCGAGACAGGAAAGGTTTTGATATCTGGGAAAAGAGAAAAGCAAATGTGACTGGGGCAGAGGGAGTCAGATGAGGGCAAGCTCCCAGGAGGAGGCTGGACACTGGCAGGGGCCCTGGACACAGGGCTGTGGAGCCACAGTGAGGAGCTGGGCTTTTGTCCTGGGGAACACGGGAAGCCAGTAGAGGGTTCCCTGCCAGGGACTGACATGACTATTTTAGATTTAGCCATAACTCTAATGCAGAGAAAGGCCTCTGAAGATGGTCTGACTCTGAGTCTATACCCTGGCTTCCATCCTTGTGGTTTTAGTTTTGTTTTGTTTTAAATTTTAAAGGACTGAGTCCCATTTAAATTTTTAATTGCAGTGGGCACTCCCCACTTCCTAGAAGAACTGCAAAACACAGATGGACACCCAATTTTGCCAACCATTAAGGGGGTCAGTGTTGCTCAGACTGAGGAATATTACTGAGCCTCTCACCTTCATGTTGCAGGTGGGTTTACTGAGGGCTAGAGGGGGAGACGTTTCACCAAGTCATCGAAGTTGAATTAAAAGATGTATCTGACTCTACGACAGCCTCGAAGGGCCAATGGGTAACACTAGACTTTCTCACACCTCCCTGGAAAATTCCAGGATCTTCTTTCATATACCTGGGCAAAAGAAACTTCTCCTTCACGGCTTTATCACACTGATCCCAAACATTTAATTCCTCTTTTCCAGAAACACACAACATACTCATGAAACACAGAACTGTGAAAACATGGCTATTGGTGTTGAAAACAGTGAAAGACTGTCAGCTGTAGAAATGAACTCTCAGCAAATTTTTTCATGAACACATAAGCTCTGCTGGAATAAAGTTTTGAGGCAATCCGGCCCATCCTTCCACATTTACAGAAAATAGAACTGACAAAAGGGACTTGAGGGGGACATCCACTTAGTAGTTCACAGGTCACTATTTTAACAGATGACATAAGGGAAGAAAACGGACTAGTAACAAATTAGTTAGCCGGGCACAGTGGCTCATGCCTGTAATCCCAGCACTTGGGAGGCTGAGGCGGGTGGATCACGAGGTCAGGAGATTGAGACCATCCTGGCTAACATGGTGAAATCCTGTCTCTGCTAAAAATACAAAAAATGGCGATGGAGTGAGACTCCGTCTCAAAAGAAAAAAAAAACCAAATTAGTTAATAGGTTCTCATGTTAAGGTTTAAAAAAAAAAAAAAAGTCATTGATATCTTTACCAAATACACGTTGACACCATCTAAAATTCCTACTGATGGCTGGCGCAGTGGCTCATGCCTGTAATCCCAGCACTTTGGGAGGGATCACTTGAGATTAGGAGTTCGAGACCAGCCTGGCCAATATAATGAAACCCTATCTCTACTAAAAATACAAAAATTAGCCAAGTGTGGTGGCAGGTGCCTGTAATTCCAGCTACTTGGGAGGCAGAGGCAGGAGAATTGCTTGAACCTGGGAGGTGGAGGTGGCAGTGAGCCAAGGTCACACCAGTGCACTCCAGCCTGGGCGACAGAGTAAGACTCCATCTCAAAATAAATAAATAAATAAGGGCCAGGCACGGTGGCTCACGCCTGTAATCCCAGAACTTTGGGAGGCCAAGACAGGTGGATCACTTGAGGTCAGGAGGTTGAGAGCAGCCTGGCCAACATGGTGAAATCCTGTCTCTACTAAAAATACAAAAAATTAGCCAGGCATGGTGGCGCACACCTGTAATCCCAGCTACTCAGGAGGCTGAGGCAGGAGAATTGCTTGAACCTGGGAGACAGAGGTTGCAGTGAGCTGAGATCATGCCACTGCCCTCCAGCCCGCGTGATAGAGTGAGACTCTGTCTCAAAAATAAATAAATATGAATAAAATTACCTACTGACTACCAAAGAGTATTCCCAATATGTGATAAAGAGTAGAAAGCGTGCAGACCTCAATCTGAACTCAACACAATTAACTTCCAATGGAAACCATTTTGAATATATATATATTATTTAATATGTATATATTATTTAACTATATATGGAATTCTACAAAGGGAAAAAATTGAAAATATATCACATTTAGAAAAGAATGACATGAGCCAATATAGGATTCCACAAAAGCTTACTTCAGCAATAATTACATATAGAAAAAGAGACTGAATTAGATAAGCTTTATCTCAACCTTCAACATGAACTGTGAGATGAAAGGTAAATACAAGGCACCAGGCAGTGACAGTCAGTCACGCCTTGCCCCTCTTCACTGCCCCACACCCTACCCCATCCTAGGAAATAGGAAGAGGGAGACCCACAACCGAATGAGGCAAGTCACCGCCCAGTGGCTGAACAGCATGGGCAAATGAAAGCTAGCCTCTGATGCTATAATTATAAAATGCACAAACCTTTTACAGAGCTTTGTAATTCTCATCCCTACATGTAGAATTGAAACAGTAAGGTTACAATTTAAATGTAACACATTATAAATAGAGAAATCAAATTGTCATATCCAATCTCAACTTACCTCTCATCTGGCCCCAGGGCGCCCCTCTTTGTAACTATGTGTTCCTCTCCCCCCATTTTGTACCTCTCACTTTCACCCTGTCTCTCCAGCCCTTCTTTTCCCCCTTTTATTTTCCCCCTAGAATTCTGCTGATTTTGTGGCTCTTTTTTCTTCTGCTGTTTCTCCCTTCTTTGTTTTCCCCCCTTATATCTGTTCTACTCCATTCTTGCAATTTGTTTCAACTCTTGTGGCGCTTTCTTTCCAATCTTTTCATCGTCCCAGTCTCCAACTATTTCTGCCTCTTACCCCATCTCTGCGCCTCCTCTGCTCTCCCTGTTAAATTCCCTCTTCCCTGTTACACCCGCTTATCCTCGCTATCTGGCACTCCCAGACCGAGGCCTCCCCGTGTAGTAGTCCTCCCTCTGCTCGCCTTGTCACCGGCTGTCCCCTCCTGCTGTCCCAGCACCACGCTGCTCTGTCTGCCCTGGCTCCCAATCTCTTCGCCTCTCTCTCACTCTCTTGTCTGAGGAGGCTCCTTCTTTGCTGTCCGTCTCCTTATCTTGTGGTCCTTCATTTGTGGACATCGAGCTTTTCTCTACATTTCGCCAACTGCTTTTCCGCCCCTGCTACTTTCTTGACTGCTTCTTTCACTCTGTCTCTTTGCAAATCCCTCACCCATCCTCCACTTTGCTATCTGTTCATAGGTCTCCCTCATTTTTCTTTTTCTCTTTCTTGGTTTTTCCATCTCCTCTCAGTCGCTCTTTGTCTCTCTCCTGATTCCCTGGGGCCACACATTCACTGGAGGGTTTGGAGTAGGATGTCTGCATGTCGGAGGAGTACATTTTCCAAGGGGTGGAGCTGGGCAGGCAAAAACACGGGTATCACAGGACAGGCCCCGGGCACCTCCCCAACAAGGGCTCAAGGGAAGCGGTGACTGCGAAGGGGAGGCCTGGGGAGCAGCAGGGCCCGGTACGAGGAGGAGGGAGGCGGGGGGCGACGACGCCTTAGAACACGGGTGGGATCTGCAGGATTCCAGGATCAAGCAGAGGCGCGGCCTCCCCGGGACTGGGGCTGCGGCGCTGCGCTCCAGGGGCCGACGAGGGCGAGGATGGGAGGCGCCCAGGGCAGGCGGTGAGGACTTTAAGCGATGCGGGGCGGGAGAAGGCGTCAGTAAAGGATTTTAAGCAGGAAAATCCTGCTTAAACGTTTAAAAAACCGGGAAAGGCCATGTTTACTTGGCCCGAGGCAGAAAGACCGGGGGCAGGGACCAGCCTCAGGGCGACTTTAACCCAAAAGGAAGCGTCTCCGGGCCCACACCGCAAGGCCTATTTACCTGAGGTGGAGGGTGCGGTGCGGAGATGTTAAGTCCGTAGCAACCCCCAGGCATCGGGTGTGCGAACGGGGAACGGCGAGGCGCAGGTTGACTCTACACAGAGGAACACTCATACGCCATGGTGTGATGCTTGCCCCGCACGATCCACTTCCGGGTCTGGGGGCAACTGCGCGGAGGGAAGCGACCCAGTGGCCTGGGGCGGGGTCCGAGGTGGGCGGAACCGGAAAAGGGCGGGGCGTGGAGAGAGCCGGGCTGGGGCTGGGGCTGGGGCAGAGGACCCGGGGCAGAGACCCCAGGGAAGGAACTAGGAGGAGCCACCGGGGAGGGGCGGGGAGTGGCCGAGTGGGAGGGACCCGGGGGCGGGCCGGGGAGGAGCCACCGGGGAAGGGCGGGGAGGAACCGGGGGGAGGGACCGCCTGGGAGGGTCTCGGGGGAGAGGTGGGGCGGGCCGGGCCGGGACACGCTAGGGTCTGCGATTTCGTGTGACGCCCACTGCCCAGCGCCCAGAGCCTTTAGTCTGTAGTGTCATGTGGAACGGCGTAGGTGTTTCAAAAGGTTTCAAGTTAAAGGCACAGTTGTGTAGGTTATTTTGGAAACCAAACTGCTTTCCTCTTAGAATGGAAACGGTTTATGTTGAAACCATTTTTTGCTAGCGCGTTTACCCAGTAATGTTATTGATGCTGAAGCAGCCCAGGAGTCTGGGAATGTGGGTCGACACGGAGCGGTGATGGCATCCTGGAAAGTTTCTGCGATTAAAATTAAGTCACTTAAAAGCCCTGAAATTAGCAATAACTTTTAAAATATATATATAAATTGCATTGCCCTTTTTAAATACTCACTATTTTCTATTCTGTACGAGATGACAACCTCAAACGCCTATACTTTTTTTTTTTGAGCTGGAGTCGCGCTCTCTCGCCCAGGATGGAGTGCAGTGGCATGCTCTCTGCTCACTGCAACCTCGGCCTCCCGGGTTCAAGTAATTCTCCTGCCTCAGCCTCCCGAGTAGCTGGGATTACAGGCGCCCTCCACCACGTCCTTTAGTAGAGATGAAGTTTCACCATGTTGCTCAGGCTGGTCTCAAACTCCTGACCTCAAGTGATTCACCCGCCTCAGCCTCCCAAAGTGCTGGGATTACAGGCGTGAGCCACCATGCCTGGCCCCAGGAACCACTTTCACCTACTGAATATATATTAAGCCCTTTGCCACAAAAAGATAATATACATAATTTATCTCAGAACAATTAAGACATTTACCACTGTAAATGGCAAATTCAGACTTAGAAAAGGAAAGATTTTATTCAAAAGGACTATTGCAATAGAGAGAATGTTCCAACTACAAGATCTGAAAATGTCCAAGAGACACAAACTAACAAGCATTTTTTTTTTTTTTCATATATGGAGAAGTAAACAAGGCTAGAAAGCACAAGCACAAGTTATAGGGCTGTGGATGAGCATTTGGCATGACTACAGTTATTCAGGGAAATGTTATGTTATGTTATGTTATGTTATGTTATGTTATGTTATGTTATGTTATGTTATGTTATGTTATTTATTGGAGAGAGTCTTGCTCTGTCACCCAGACTGGAGTGCAGTGACGTCATCTCTGTTCACTGCAACTTTTCATCTACCAGGCTCAGGCAGTCCTCTCACCTCAATCTCCCCAGTAGCTGAGACTACAGGCACACGTCACCACGCCTAGTTAATTTTTGTACTTTTTGTAGAGATGGGGTTTTGCCATGTTGCTCAGGCTAGCCTTGAACTCCTGAACTCAAGGGATCCCCCACACCTTGGCCTCCCAAAGTGCTGGGATTACAGGTGTGAGCCACTGTGCCCGGTCTATTTATTTTTTGAGAGAGCATCTTGCTGTGTTGCCCAGGCTAGAGTGCAGTGTCAAGACCATAGCTCACTGCAGCCTTCAACTCAAGTGATCCTCCTACCTCAGCCTCCCAAATAGCTGGGACTATGGGTTTGCACCACCACACTTTACTAATTTTTTTACTTTTTGCAGAAGTGGATTCTCACTATGTTGCCCAGGCAGGTCTTGAACTTCTAGCCTCAACTGATCCTCCTGCCTTGACCTCCCCAAGTGTTGGGATTACAGGTGTGAGCCTGGCTCATCATGGAGTTCAAGACCAGTTTGGGCAACATAGTAAGGCTCTCATCTCTACAGAAAATTTTTAAAAATTATCTGGGCATGGTGGCACACACCTATAGTCCCGGCTACTCAGGAAGATTGCTTGAGCCCAGGAGTTCGAGGCTGCAGTGAGCTGTGATCCTGACACTGCACTCCAATCTGGGCAATAGAGTGAGAACCTGTCTCTCTTTCCAACAAAAAAAAAATCCTACTCTTGGGAGGGGTGTTGTTAAGGAAAAGTTGTTCCAAATTACACTGACAAATAATGGTTCAGAGGGTTGGGCATGGTGGCTCATGCCTGCAATCCCTGCACTTTGGGAGGCCGAGGTGAGCGGATATGAGGTCAGAAGTTCGAGACCAGCCTGGCCAACATGGCCAAACCGCGTCTCTACTAACAATACAAAAATTAGCTGGGCGTGGTGGTCCACGCCTGTAATCCCAGCTACTCAGGAGGCTGAGAGGCAGGAGAATTGCTTGAACCAGGGAGGCAGAGGCTGCAGTGAGCCGAGATTGTGCCACTGAACTCCAGCTTGGTTGACAGAACGAGACTCTGTCTCAAATAAATAAATAAATAATAACAAATAAATAAGGCTGTGTGCGGTAGCTCAAGCCTGTAATGCCAGCACTCTGGGAGGTTGAGGCGGGCGGATCACATGAGGTCAAGAGATCGAGACCATCCTGGTCAACATGGTAAAACCCTGTCTCTATTAAAAATATAAAAATTAGCTGGGCGTGGTGGCACATGTCTGTAGTCCCAGCTATTCAGGAGGCTGAGGCAGAAGAATTGCCTGAAACCAGGAGGCAGAGGTTGCAGTGAGCCGAGATCATGCCACTGCACTCCAGCCTGGTGACAGAGTGAGACTGCATCCCATGAATGAACAAATTAATGAATAAATAAATAGTGAATTAGTAATCAAAAACCTCAAAAAAGAAAAGTTTGTAGCTGTACACGGTGGCTCACACCTGCAATCCCAGCACTTTGGGAGACCGAGGCAGGCAGATCCCTTGAGCTCACAAGTTTGAGACCAGCGTGGTCTACATGGTGAAACCCTGTCTCTACAAAAAATACAAAAATTAGCCAAGTGTGGTGGTGCGCATCTGTAGTCCCAGCTACTTGGGAAGCTGGGGTGGGAGGATCACTTGAGCCCAGGAAGTTAAGGCTGCAGTGAGCAGGATTGCACCACTGCACTCTACTGGGCAAGAGACCAAGAGTCTGTCTCCAAAGAAAGAAAAAAAGACAGTTTAAAAAGTTCTGGAGTTTGTGTAGGTTTTGGAGAAACTCCTGCTGAGCCATACCCTCTGCACTAGAGAAGGAAATGTTACACTAAAACACACAAATCAATAGACATTCCCTGATACAACAGTTCCACATATCACACATTTAAAACTATGAGTACTAAGGTGTCATCAACAAAACTGCTGATTAAATAAAAAGCCAAGTTCATTTATAATATATGGAAATGTACAAGACAAAATTAGCAGTGCTGGAGCGACCTCAGCAAGGTGGTTGACTACAGAAGCCTAGTAAAAATCATAAAAAATAACAAAGTAATTTTACTAAAGTTGAAAATAAACCTTAGAATATAAACAAACACTTCAGTGTTTGGCATTATCACTGTCAATACTGAAACTAAACCTTAGAAGGAGTTCATTGCAGTTCCTGTAAAGTGGTCACAAGTTAAAATTCCTAACAACATTATCAGGGTGAATATATAATTTCTACTTTATCTACCAAAACAAAACAAAATTCACATTGTGTATGTTAATTTTTAAAAGGAAGGTCATAAACAATAATTATTCTTTTCAAATTATGACACTGAACACTCTAAGGATAAAATATCCTTATCCCCCACATTTAAAACATTTTACGGTATTTTCCATATTCTTTTTTTTGGAGATGGAGTCTCGCTCTGTCGCCCAGGCTGGAGTGCAGTGGCCGGATCTCAGCTCACTGCAAGCTCCGCCTCCCGGGTTTACCCCATTCTCCTGCCTCAGCCTCCCGAGTAGCTAGGACTACAGGCCCCCGCCACCTCTCCCGGCTAGTTTTTTGTATTTTTTAGTAGAGATGGGCCTCCCAAAGTGCTGGGATTACATCCATATTCTTACTATATTTGTACTTTCCCTTCATGTAAATCAAGGTGTACTCCTTGGGTCTTATCTGACACACAAGAGGCATGTAGAAAAATAATCATATGGTGCAATAGTCACCAAGAGTGATACAGCTGGCCAGGGACGGTGGCTCACGCCTGTAATCCCAGCACTTCAAGAGACTAAGGCAGGCAGATAACCTGAAGTAAGGAGTTTGAGACCAGACTGGCCAACATGGTGAACCGTTGTCTCTACTAAAAATACACAAATTAGCCAGACATGGTGGCGTGTGCCTGTAATCCCAGCTACTCGGGAGGCTGAGGCAGGAGAGTCGCTTGAACCCGGGAGGCAGAGCTTGTAATGAGCTATTGTGCCACTGTACTCCAGCGTGGGTGACAGCGCAAGACTCTGTCTCAAAAAATAAAAATAAAGCCGGGCGCGGTGGCTCAAGCCTGTAATCCTGTCTCTTATACACATCTAGATGTGTATAAGAGACAGGCCTCAGTCTCCCAAGTAGCTGGGATTACAGGCACCCACCACCACGCCCGGCTAATTTTTGTATTTTTAGTAGAGATGGGGTTTCACCATCTTGGCCAGGCTGGTCTTGAACTCCTGACCCCATGATCCACCCGCCTCAGCCACCCAAAGTGCTGGGATTACAGGTGTGAGCCACCACGCCCGGTCGTGGTCTGCTCTGTTTCATGGTCAATTTGTAGGTCATCTCTTTCCTGTAACCCAAAGTGCCCTCTGTCAGGAGAACACCCTGAACACAATGAGGATGATGATCAATATCATCGTTTTGCATTATTCTCTGCCTGCCCCCATGCTTGGTAATTTGGGGCAGAGTCCTTATTCTTCAAAGAATTTGAATAGAAATGATCCTCATCTAATGCAGTGAGCCCTTCCATCTTACTGATTCTTTCCCAGACATCGCCATGAAAGGCAGGTAAGGAGGCATACCAACAGATTTCAAGGTTTAGGTTGAAAGTCATAAATCGTAAAATATAAAGTAGTAGCCTTGCAAGACACCTAAAATAAATAAATAAAATATTTTAAAATCTGAAGATAACCAGTGACTTCAAACATCCTGTAACCTTTAATACATATCATGTTGTGTATGAGTTTTAACACATTTGAACTTGCAGTTGTTCTACAATGTATATGAAAAGTTTATCAGCACTAGATTGAATTATTCCTCACATAAATCCTTGGATGTTTTACAGTTTTGATCCTTGGTTAATAGCTTCAACATGCACAAAATATAAAAAGATGTATATACATTTTGACATCTAGTGAGTTATGAGACCTAAATGAAGTCTCTGCCACATACTTAGGTTTATATGATTTCTCTTTAGCATGGACTCTGACATCAATGAATGCTTGAACTTGTGATGAAGGGTTTGCCATACTTGTAAGGATTCTCTTGAGAATGAAATTCTCTGATGCTGTGTAAGAGTTAATTGTGACTGAAAACTTTGCCACATTTATTATATTTGTATGGTTTCTCTCTGGTATAAATTCTTTGATCACAAGATTTAAACTTTGACTGAAGACCTTGCCATACTAATTTCTTTTATAAGGTTTCTCCTTAGTATGGATAATTTGATGTCTAAAGAGGTTTGGGCGCACACTAAAGGACTTCCCACAATCACTACATTTGTAAGGTTTCTTTCCAGTATGGATTATCTGATGTCTAGTGAGGTTTGGGCGCACACTAAAGGATCTGCCACATTCATTACATTTGTAAGGTTTTTCTCCAGTATGGATGACCTGATGGGTAGTTAGGCTTGAATGCACACTGAAGGCTTTGCCACACTCATTACATTTGTAAGGTTTCTCTCCAGTATG